GGTCGGCTGCGCCGCGGCCGTAGGATCTAAGCAATATGAGCTGTACATCTCTCTTTAAATAGGGTTGCTGGTTGAGGCAACTTCCTACCATTTTCTCAATTTCTCTTAAGTCTTTGTAGACCTTGACCACCAACTAGCTTAACCCTTTAGCCTTCTTCCTCAAACTCAACTTTTTTAGGTAAAGAATTTCTTCTGGAACCATGTGTACTCAAACACCGGTCTCGAGTGCTATGAACTTCTTCACCTCTCAGACACCAGAATGCCCCATTCCCATTCCACCTCCTCCAACAGTGAGGATACCACTAGTGAATTCGAGAACTCCCCTTGGGTACTTGAAGTCCGGGTACTAAGGGAGAGGACTGCCCTTGGTGGTGTCGAGTGTAGCTGGCGGGGCAAGGAATCTCCTGATGAAAGTACTGGCTCTACTTCTTCGTGTCTTGTCTTGAGGGTTGGCCTTTCAAGTTTGACTAGGGGAAACTGGATCCCGTGGGTGAGAGGATATGGCCATATAATAACGATGAAGAGGCCAACATGATGATCCGAATTCGGCTGATAGGGACGATTTGCACTGTGCCCTTGGTAGCGGAGGACACCTTGGTGTGGGATGGTCTCAGCCCCGCCCGCCTCGGTATGGATACTCTTGTCGTTGACTACCAATGTCTGCTTACTTTTGTCTTTGTACTTACATGTTATGTTGTGTGTTGCAGAGATGGACGACGACATCAAGGATCGAATAATGAAGATGATAAGTCCAATAAGAGGGGCACGGGCGAGGCCCCGTTGAAGAGGCTTGCCCCAAAGGAGACAATTGCCTTGAAGGAACCGCCTCGGGTGAAGGCACCAACCGAGGCTGAGAGGAGAAAGGCACCGACCGAAGCCAAGGGGAGAAGGGCACCCACACCTAAGAGACCCGCCGAGGCCCCCAACCTCCAAGGTGGAAGAGACTGGCAGTGAGGGATCGCCAGCTCGAGGGTGCCGCTGGGGGCTCTCGACAATTTGTGCCCCACTCTTTTGACATGTCGCTAGTGGTGAGAAGAATCTTCCGCCCTAGTCGGAATGTCCGAGAGGGTGGTACTTTGAGCACCATGGGGTTCAGTTGAGCCCTGGTGACCGGGATGCTACCACTAGGGGACAGGCAATCCTAGACTCAGGTGAACATCCAGGGTGTTCGGGACACCCTTTTGGATCGACTAGCCAAGGTGAGGCTTCTATTCGTTATACTTAGTCAATTTTTTCTCTTTTGCTTTGCTTCATTTTGACGACCACTTATTCCTTGCAGACGTCTTCCACCGCCGTTGGTCTATGCGGCAAGGTGGAGGTTCACCTTCAGCAGTTGAGGACCTCCCCGAAGGAGGCTGACAAGTTGAATCGCCAGCTGACTGTGTCCCAGAGTGGCCGAGAGGCGTCCATTGCAACGATGCGTAAGGAGCGTGACCGTAGGAAGGAGATGGAAGCCAAGGTCTCAGCCATGAGGGAGAAGATGAGGGCTCTCTGGACCTCTCTGAACGAGGTCGAGGAGCAACTGAAGAAGACCAGGGAGAAGCTCTAGGCGACCGAGCAGAAACATCAAGAGGTCTCGACTAAGGCTGTTGAAGAATTCAAGACCACCAATGCCTATAAAGATGAGATGACCAAGTTCGGTGCCGTTTCCTACTTGGAGGGCATCGAAGACACGAAGGCTGAAGCAGCCGACGAGCGTGTGGATGTTGAGGCCTGAAGATGTTCTGCCGGGGCTGGGGTCTTCTCCAAGCAACTTCTTTTTGTCCATTCTCCTCATACAACTCTAGATTCTCCTTCCACTTTTTTTCTTTGTTTATTGTTTGTTGTAAGGGGCTCGGCTTCCCCGAACCAAGGCCAACCTTTTGTAAAACTCGTATTGTGCAATGAAATGAAAGCATAACGAAATTGTCTGGTGACAATTTTGATCACCCGGGCCATCAGCTAGTTAGCTCAAAGCCCATGTGGCATATTTGGGAGGCCGACCATCTGGTTCCTGGTACTTCTGCTAACCCTGAACTTAAATTTTTGATTTCGTTTTGTAGATTGTTTTACTGCAGAATTATTTGGTTTAATTAGACATTGTGGTGGCAATGATATGATCCGGTTATCTATTTCAATGTAGTATCTGTTTCCTATAAACTATTAACAACTGTTCTTGTTTTTCTTTCTCTTTTTATTTTTTTTCCTTAATCTGCCAATGGTATTTATTCTTTTCATTTTGAAGATTTTGGCTATTCAAGGGTCCAAGACTTCATTAATCAGGTTCTACTTCTATCCATGATAAGGAAAGTAATATTTGATCCATTACATTAGGAACTCTAAAGGAAAGACTAGTTCATTAAAATGTAAATAGCAAGTAAATTTGGGGATATTTTACTAATTTACCTTCTGGTTTGGGGCGAGCTTGGGGAATTATATGCAAACCCCTAGGGGTGAGCATAATTCGGTGAAAGATCTTCTTACTATTTTCCTTCAAACAGAGCATAGTGGGTTGCCTGCCGTCAGACTCTCCTTGCTTCGTTCTTGTCTGAGGGGAGTTGCTCGTGTTGTAGGTAGGCGAGGATGGGGTCCATCCAACTAGGGCTGTTCATCAAACCGATGAAACTGACCAAATTGACCCAACTCAACCCAAGTTGGTTACTTTCTAGTATTTCTAGTTGGCTTTGATTCAACAATTTTCCCACCTAACTAATTTGGGTTAGTTTTAGTTTGGCCATTTGTAAACTGACCAAAATCGAACTGACTTGATCATAAATATAAATTAATATTTTCTATTTCAAATATGATTTTTTAACACAAGAAAGTGAGAAAATTCCTACATTTCTTAGTTTAAAATATTAAAATTTAAAATTTATTTTTTAATAATATCATTGTAATTTTTTTAAATTTAAAATTTGTAAGTTTAAATATTTTGAACGAACCAACCAAACTGAAAACTGACCCAAACCGATACCAATGTTTTCAACCCACCATTGACCCAACTAGTTGAACCGTTTGAACCGTCACCCGACTTTCGATAAAAAACTGTTGACTTGGTAAAAAACCCAACTCAAAGGGTTCATTCGTTGACTCGTTCGACTTGGTCACTTGGTTGTAGGTTGCAAAGTTAATGCTTGCCCAAACTTTTTGAGGCTATAACTTTGCACTCTGATGTCTGATTGAGGTGATTTTTTTTTTTGGGTAACTTATCAAGATCTATTTACCCCAAGGTTCTATCGGTGCCTTGCCTCGCTATTTTGGTGAGAAAACCCTTTTTTGGCTCAAATTGAGTTTTTAACATTTTTTTGTAAAAAAATTAAAACTGAATTAAAAAATAAATAAAGTAGAGAATAAAACATATATTATATGTACTTACACACACACACACACATATATAATTAGATGGTTTCGTGTTTTTTCATTCGTGTCGGACCGATACGGATCTATATCGGCCTCGTATCGGACCGTTTTGGGTATGTATCGGCCGATACAACCCGAAATGGGCCGATACACATTATGTATCAGCCGATTTTAATTTCCCTCTCCTTTTTAATTTTAATTCATCTATTTTCTCTCTCTCTCTCTCTCATTAATATCGATTTTAATTAAGCCTTTAAGTTTGAGACGCCACTAAATGCTAATATTATTTAATTAAATGCTCATTTGAGTTACCTTTAATTAGGTCATTTAACATGTCATTAAATGTTATTTAAGTCTAATAACTTGTTAAAAATCACAAGTTGAAGGCAACAAGTTCCGAACACAAGTCATTTGTTTACAACGATAATTAATTAACCATTATGCGACCAACCTTAATTGCTTATTAAAACAACATGTTTTTTTTTTTTTTTTTTATACTTAAAGTAATCTTTCTTGCCTGGGTGGATGTTTCCCAACAAATGCTAAAATTTGATTATTAATATTTATATAATAATAAGATAAATACAAATTATATTTATTTATTAAAAAATTAAGGTGTATATTAACTTGTATATATAATAAATATTATCTAAATCTATATACAATAAATATTAACTAAAAAATGACTTTAAAAAATATTAACTATATATTAGTATATATACACATACATTTTAGTTCTTCTATTATTTTACAACGGTTACTAATTATATCCCGGTACTTTATATAAATCATTAAAGAATGGTTTTTATGTTTAAATAAATTAGTTATAATCATATAAAATTCATTTTTATTGTTGTTCATATTTTTTAAGGATTTTCTAGTGTATTCATGCATATCTTGATTTTTTGTCTATATCTGTGTTTCCAAAGCGTATCTCAATATATCTCTTAAAATTATATTTTCCAATACACCTTACGTTTACAATATTTTGAACCTTGATCTATACCTCTAATTTCAAGTATCTATTTCTAGAAACCATGCGGACCCTAAAATTATTGTTGTATGAAATTTTCACGTGAATTTTATAGCCCCATAGTACAGGGGGAATGTATCCAGACTGTGAATTGATGTCAAATTCACGGGAAAGATGTGATTTATAGGGGAAAGTGCTAGAAGGGGGGGCCGGAATTCAGAATTCTGCATCGGATGTAATTGTATTCTCCTAATCAAGTTTGTAGAAAGTCCCACATCGAACAAATATATTAAACTGGAGTTAGTTATCTATTCTTTTACAAGTAGATACGTTGCTGAGCTCGGTAGCGTGAGCTTTTAACCCAAGCGGGAGCATCAAGTTGGTCGAACATTAGTCCAATTCCGACAGGCGGGATCTGACGGAGTAATTTGCCGGCACGCCCGTTCCAAGTAGGGAGTTGAAGCATGGGGTTTGAGCGAAGGCTGAGGCTTCCTGGTTCTTAGAGAGGAGGGCACCGCGTCAGGCTGGCTTCACAGAGCAGCGACAACCTCCCGCTCTCGTCGGTGGAAGGATAACGAGTCGGTGCTCCGCTGATCCACTCATCACCCTAGGAATTGATCCCAATCGGACGACCAATTTTTGCCCGGAATACACCATCATCTCCACCACCTCCGTCCAGCTTCCTCTCAGGTCCGAGTTACTCAACTTTTGGCTTTGTAGATTTAGTTTAAGTTGTCCTTAGCTTGTTTCATTCCTTTCCCTCGTTCAAATTCAATCTATTTTTGCATTACCTTCCGTACTGTATTCTCAAACCGCAGAAAACTCCATTGACAACATCTCCTCTGGGAAAATTGGAATAATCCCTTCGTTACAAATAATCAACATATTATATAGTTGAAATTCTTTTCATCTAGACAAGTGCAAATTTAGAAAAAAAATTTTCATTAATAACCATAATAACCACAAGATTCACTAAATACAAACATCCAAATAAACAAGTCTCCATCCTTTCAACAATTACAATATGTGACGTAAAAGGCGAATAATTGAGGAAAGCAGAAAACCTTTTTCCCTGCTCTCTTGTAAAACACAAATCAATTATTCTTACCCTCTTCTTCATTGAGAGATGAAAAGAACATGATATATATATAAATAATGAAAAGGCCAAGTACTGAAGTTTTAAGTTTATGAAAAGTTTTGTTTTTCAAATTCTCTTCTATAAAATGAGTTCCTTTATTGAAAAAAGGCATCTAGAAAAATCTTTCCATGTAGAACATTTATATTTAAGGTCATTTTATTATATCCTAGGTGATTAAAACCAAGGTTCAAAATATGATACCTCGTATCGGGCGTTTCGATACTTGCTTTTTACTTTTTTTTTTTTTTAATTTTTTTTCAAAACTGGTTCAGGGGAGCCGGTTTAGGACCCCTCCATCCCTTGAACCGGTCAAACCCCCAATACACCCACTGTAGGAACGTATCGAAAGGGTCCCGGAACAATACGTATCGATCGATACGGGCTGATACGTAACGATACTTTGAATCTTGATTAAAACCTTCTAACATCCAAATTAACCATGAAAATAAACATTAAAAAAATCTATGAATGAAAATTAGTCAAGGATCATTATTTTCATAATTGAACTAGATGAAAAAGCTTGAAAATTATGTCGGAGCAGCATAGATGGGAAAGAATAAGAAAGTTTTAAATTATTTGAAGGGTTAGATAGCCTTTCATGTCTGCCACTAAAACACCAAAGATGCAAGACACTTGTTTGGATCCTCAGTAAAACACCAAAGAACTCAAGAATGGCCCAGCTTGGCAGACGTCCAAAAGTGATCTGTTTTCCCAAAGACTGACATCTCCAGTGTTTTTAATCAGAAAATATTCATGGTGGATTCAAGACTTAAGATGCCTATAACTAGAAAATAAATTTAAAAAGAAATCAAAAAGAGAAATATCCTTAACACCCAAACTGTGCACTAGTTTTGGTTGTCTGTTATATACATGGGCTTGGTGGTCTTCCAAGACCAAATAATGAAGAATAAGGCCCATTTTGATCTCATTAAGGTCTAAAAATTGTCTCAAGAGTTTTGTCATCTATTTCAGATTCTCAGTGGTCACTAAATGGTGGTAAGAACATATTGAAAGTGGTTTTCTAGTGGTACCATCACTAGTGTTATCATCTAAGGGATATTGGTAGGACTCAGAAGTACAGGGGTTTGATTATCAGATTTATTTTTACTTCTATGGACTGGGTTTGATTATTAGATTTATTTTTATCCACTACCATCTAAGAGGACTCAGATGGTACAGGCAAACTATATGAAAAGCTCCTCCTTTAAGGATAGCAAACACCAACCCCACCTGGAAATCTTAGTCCATTTTACATTGCCAAAATTTTTTGAAGATTTTAATAAGAACATCAATTAAGGTATTTAATACTCAAATATTCTTGCAAATGGGTCATTCTGTTCCATTATAAAACTGCCTTTAATAGAATGATGAATCAGAAAACCACTAACTTAAAACTTAAAAAATGCAAAGCATCAACATTCCTTAAACCAAACAAAATTGCAAATCAATGCATAAAATTCCATATTACCTTCCTCTTCTTCAAAACAAGGTTTAATGTGTCCTCAAGCTGCCTTTTCTTGTGCTTCCTTTCCTTTTTAAAAGCACCACACACCTCTACATTAATTGATAATACATATCAGTCAGTACTTCACAGAGAACCATTCAACCTAAAAGGTTAAGCTGTTAAGTGAGATCCTTGAATAGGTTTTATTCTCTAACATGCCCCCTCACGTAAAAGCCCATTGGGCTTTAAGCGTGGACAGCACAGGCCCACTCATTGGGCTTGAAGCGTGGAGGTGATGAGAATCGAACACTAGACCACTTGGTCAAAGTGGCTCTGATACCATCTCAAAGAACCATTCAATCTAAAAGCTTAATCTGTTAAGTGAGGTCCTTGAATAGGTTTTATTCTCTAACAGTACTAATACCACAGTGAAAGTATGCTTTTACTACAAACTACTCTTAAATATTTGAAGATGTGTACCTATTCATACTTAAAAACATGGAATAGATCTACTCTTAACCTTTCTTCTAATAGCTGCTTGTTCACACATTTGCACAAGCACATAATCATATGACATGTGTGTACAGATACATATGTTTATGTTTATGTCTCTGGCAGCACCACTAAAACCAGGATTGCCTTTCAAAACTGCATCTATACTGAATTTTTATCTACATTTACATGGTTCTATTCAAATGGGTTATCTTACCTCCTAAGCCTCAAAGACAACCTCTTTAATACCCAAACATTCTAAAGTATCTGGTTCTGTCCAAAAACTTATGTCCATGAGCACTTGATATATTGATTTACATTAATTAGAACCATACCATCTTACAGAGAATCATTTAATAACTTCCATGATTATTTGGAGTCAGAAGGGGATATAGAATTGGACCAATGAGTTGGATGGTGTTTTCCCATTAGATGAAGTGGTTAAATTTGATAAAAAGATAGAGATTGTTAAGGTGATTGAAAAAGAAGTGGGAAGAGTTTGAGTTTGTTCCTTTTAGGAGGTAAGAATGTGCAAGATTGTTCTTTTTTTTTTTTTTCTTTTTTTGAATTAGAAGAAAGAGAGAAGACTAAAAATTCTGAATCTACAAAGTAGGATTAACTATGCAAGATTATTCTTTTTTATTTTGAATTAGAAGAAAGAGAGTAGACTAAAAAATCTGAATCTACAAAGTAGGATTAACTATGCAAGCTTATAGAATTAGAACAGAAATGCTGATATGATTATTGGAAATTTTGTGAGACATTCAAGAGGTACAGGATGCTAGTGTTACTTCTGGAAGGAGATAGTTGTGGGAAGTGTTTATATTGCATCTTGTTTAAAATTGAGAAAAGTTGTAGATGTGGTTCCTGACTTTCTGGGATGTTTACTATTGTTATTTTGTTTATATTGTAAAGTTCGGGGCTTATTTGTTAAAATTCTAGTTCATCTCATGACTAATGAACGCAAGGAAATCATCTTTCAATCCACATCACCCAAAATTTGTGGCACTGGTAAAATCAGAACATTCTCTATTTAATAAGAACCATGAAGCAGTAGATGATTGAAATTTTAAGAAGTCAAGCTTGTCTTACAAATTTGACCAAGAAAACAAGAAATTATTCAAGTTTGGATCACTACACAAAAATAAAGAAACAGTATGACATGCACCCTTAATTATTGAACTTATTGATTATTTGGTTTTTTTCAAGCCTAGTACAGAATCCGTTGTCTTCCAAACACTTTTTCCTTTCTAAGATTGGTGGGTAGTCTCTACTAAAGTCATATTTGACCAAACTTTATGGGCAATAATCTCGAGTAGCATCTAGTATATGTAATATTGGGATCTTACAATTTGAATCCCAATCTAATATATTTAATGAATTGAATGTTTCATTTTGGCTATAGCTAATTGTAAAATAAAAAAGCTATTTGCTTTCCCTCAATGCCTTTTCTCCCTTTTGAGTTTTACTTATGGGAAATGTATGAAGATGACCCAACCTTGTTGGAAATTTTCTTTCTACACCTCTCCTTTGATTATAATAAAAGTCATTATACAATGCTAATCAAAGGTATCTTGTGTCTTGGGAGGGGTAGATTGGTACAAGCAATTTGATGGAGAGATGTGGCACCATTGAAGAATTGTGAGGATTAATCCCTAGTGTTTGAGTCAGACACGAACGGATAGAGGCAAAAAGCTCTTGCTCTTGTTCTTGATGAAGGGTTATTTGGCCCGACCTAGTAAAAAGGAGACACGTGGACATGAACTGACTAAGAGATGACAACTCAGCATGGCATACCTAGTTCGCAACAATTGAGCTCGAGTATTCAGGCACTTCGGCACAAGGACCACCTCGGCTTGAGGCTCACCTCGGTGTAGGGCCACCTCGGCACTAGTCTCACCTCGGCATCGAGGCGCCTCGGTATTCAATTCAGTTCGAAACTAAAAGACCGAAGTACCGGCTCAGGACCAACAACTCGAATCGCCACAAACTGACTCCCGCATAACAAACCCCAGAGGTCTCTCCAACGATCATGATGAGTTAACAGATCCCGACATTTTCGGGATTGCGATGAGGACTTACCTTGACTCCGTCGGAATCGGAAGTGGAACGAGATAATCCTTACCTGTATACTGCTCCTTAGGAAGCGGAGCAAACTCTATCTCCACACCCTGGATATCCTAGAGCTCTTTTGTGTGCCCCACGACTACTCCAGTATATAAAGGCACCAACCCCAATGGCGCAACGTACGCGTGATTTTTCTTCTATCTAGCTTTCTAAGTTCTCTAAGTTCTCAATTCAGCTCGCATCAGATTACTGACTTAAGCATCGGAGCGACCTTGCCGGGTTAGCCACCCTGGGTTCTCTGGTCCTGTCTTGCAGATTCACTTAGCACGCCGTCCGACTGGACGCCAGAACATCCTCCAGCAGGGAGTAGTCAGACCGCGCAACATCAATTGGCGTCGTCTGTGGGAAGACGATCAAAAAGCCTTCTTCACAATCAACAACTTTCCACTGAAATCAATGGCCTCTTCTAGTCACACCAGACATAGTAGTGAGATGAATGTCTCTGGGGGGCAACCTCAGTTTCCTTCAGTGTGCATTGGCCAGTTCACCATACCGCTTACTGCGGCTGGGGTCCCAACACTGGCTGTGCCACAAAACACCACACAGGTGAACGCCCCACTCCCTCCAGTGGTAGGTGCAACCTTCGCTGAGCCGTCTATGGTTCCCCCCGGAGTTGGACAATCTCAGTTCGACGACCTGGTGCACTGCGTGCGGGCCATTCAGGTCCAAATGCAGCAGGTCCAGTAGTACCAACAGTACATGTTCTACCAAAACTACCAACAGCAGTTCCCTCCACTGCCACAGAGCCAGCAGCCGGTTCCACCCAGGCACCCAGGGACCCAGCAGAACCAGAATCGACCTCGCATGAACCAGGACATCACTCGATCTCCCCACTGAGGCGAGGAGACTTCCTAGGTCCTAGTTCCTCCCAGGAGTCAAGTCTCACCTCGCGGGAGGAAAGACAGTTAGATCACTCCACCTGTTTCACAAGGAAACCTCGGAAACAGGTCCGGGGACACTCAGCCCAACAGGGCCATTCTTCCTCGGCGTTCGCATCAAGAAGGTGGATCGCTCGCAGGTTACCGGTTTGGGGTTCTGGGTGCGAATTCAAGGCAAGGCCCCTCCATCCACGATAGTCAACCTCAGAATCCCATAAGGAACCAGGAGCTACCTCGCGGTAGAACAGTACCAGAGCATACCGAGGTTAGCAACACCAATGCAAAGACAATAAAGAAGCAGCAACGAAGGCGTCGCAAGGCACGCCGAACTTCAGTACAGAATAGCCAGCTCACGAGACCAAACCAACAAGAATAGGTGAAAGGTAAAGAGGAGGCGAGCTCGATAGCTACAAAGACCACTCCTCTACTCTTCGGGTCGTCCCCTCTGTTTTCCGAGCTCTTGGCGACCCCGATGCCCAAGGACTTCAAGATGCCTCCCCTGGATAAGTATGACGGATCTTTTGATCCTAACGATCACGTGGATTTCTTCTAGTCCCAAATGCACCTAGTTGGGGCCGACGAATCCTGCATGTGCATAGCTTTCTCTACCACCTTCAAGGGAGTAGCTCGGACTTGGTACCAGAACCTCGCGCCAGGATTAATTAAGAGTTGGGCGCAGTTCGTGGAATTATTTACCTCGCACTTCATCACCAGCAAGAAGTGCCTGAGGTCGCAGGAGAGTCTGCTTAACGTAGTCCAAAGAGAAGGGGAGTCCATCAGAAGTTACATCAAGCGGTTCAACGATACCTACCTACAGATCACTGATCTAGACCCAGCGGTGAGACTCGCGATAGCCAAAAAGGGCGAAGGGGGGAACTACCTAGCGAGGAGCTGACCTCGCTAGCGGGAGCCGAGGACTGCACCTTGGCACCCTCGAGCTCACTAGAGTCACCAAGGAGCCTATTTATGGTAGCACTAGACATATTGAAATAGGAACAGGAAAGGAGAACAATCTAAGGAAGAAAAGACGAACTCACCAAAAAAGAAAATGACCTCGGAATACAAAGGAAGAAGTGGCGAGCTGAAGGACTCCAACGCGACCTCGGGAGAGCTCAATCACAGGATTTGTGGCAAAGAAGAGGGGCCCCTCGGCTCCCTATTTATAGTTCATCGCGAGGCGATCAACGGCTGAGACCTGCTCAATCCAACGACTCTCATGAAAACTGGTTGCACGACACTTGAGGACAAAATCGGTTAGGCACGCTTTTTGACATCCGCGAAGTCTATAAACAGTGTGACGTCTGCGCGTACCCGGAATGCGATCTGGGTCATTTGGTGGTTGAGCCAGACGATTGAATGGGACCGACCAGCGGTTCGCTCTTCAGGATGTTAGACCCCATGCCAAATCCACCTAGATCGTCCGTGAACTCCTCGCACCGGGTTGGGACCCTTGGCACGAGGAGTGGGGAGAATTTGATGATGGGTGATTTGGCCCGACCTAGCAAAAGGGGGACACGTGGACACGAACTGACTAAGAGATGACAACTCAGCATGGCATACCTAGTTCGCAACAATTGAGTTTAGGTATTCAGGCACCTCGACACAAGGACCGCCTCGGTGCAGGGCCACCTCAGCACTAGTCTGACCTCGACATCGAGGCGCCTCGGTATTCAATCCAGTTCGGAACTAAAAGACCGAAGTACCGGCTCGGGACCAACAACTTGAATCGCCACGAACTGACTCCCGCGTAACAAACCCCAGAGGTCTCTCAAACGGATCCCAAATCTCTCGGGATCACAATGAGTTAGCAGATCCCGACCTTTTCGGGATTGCGATGAGGACTTACCCTGACTCCGCCGGAATCGGAAGTGAAACGAGATAAGCCTTACCTGTATATTGCTCCTTAGGAAGCAGAGCGAACTCTCTCTCCACACCCTGGATATCCCGAAGCTCTTTTGTGTGCCCCACGACTACTCCAGTATATAAAGGCACCAACCCCAATGGCGCAAGGTACTCGTGATTTTTCTACTCTCTAGCTCTCTAAACTCTCTAAGCTCTCAATTCAGCTCGCATCAGATTACTGACTTAAGCATCAGAGTGACCTTGCCGGGTTAGCCACCCCGGGTTCTCTGATCCTGTCTTGCAGATTCACTTAGCTCGCCGTCTGACTAGAAGTCAAATCATTCTCCAACAGGAAGTAGTCAGATCACACAACATCACACATATATAGCTATTTTGTTCCGAGTCAAAGTCAATTCAATCTAGGTAAGGTAGGTGGTTCACCTCATATATCACTTGAAAAAAATCTTAAATGCTTATTCAAAATATCCAATTACTTTGGTGAAGTCCTTAAAATCATGGCCAAGTGTCATGATATCAACGTAACCCATGCATATACTTGAAGGACTTGTAGTCAGGAGCTTATTTCCAAGTAAAATTTCAAGGTTTATATGGTTTGATTTTTTGAAACTCGGTTCAAGCCATGATTAATGGAACAAGAATGAATTCTTTATCTACGAGACTGTGTTAAGAAAGATGAGTTTTAATAGCTCTGCCCATATACTCACAGTTAGGGGTGGCCATGAGCCGAGCCTTTTACGAGCTATTCGAGTTCGACTTTTGAAAAGCTTGGCTCGACTCGGTTTAAACCGAGTTTTAAGCCGAATTCTAGCTTGATATATAGGCTAGTTTATTAATCAAGCCGAGTTCAAGCCCAGTGAAGCTTGACATGTGAGATTCACAAGCTTAGTATTAAATAAATAATTTTTATTATATACATACATACATACATACATATAAAAAATAATTTTATTATATAATAATATTTTATTTTTTATGTATAATAGTAAATAATTTTTATATTTATTTTTTGTATATATAATATTAAATAATTTTTATAATTCTTAATTTTTTGTTTGTAAAATAAAAAAATAATTTTATACATATAATTTTCATTTTTCAAAAAAACTTGGCTTATAGTCGAGCTCGAGCCGAGCTGAACTCAAACTTACGAGCTATGAACTGAACCGAGCTCGGGCCTGACATTATTCCTGCAAGCCAAACTCGAATAGCCAAATATTCGACTCGGCTTGGATCGAATCCACCCCAACTCATAGTAAGCATAATTGGTTATTGAGTTTCACAACATTAATTTGTATATAGGTGTTTATTGTGTACTGTTTACGTGGTTAACATTTTATTTTTCTAGAAGAGTGGTTCTAGGCTAGGGCGCTTCAGTCAATTTGGTTAGGGCATTTGAGTTAATCCCTTTTATGTAAAACAACGACAGATACTATTCACTAAATATAAAATTTAATCAGACTGAAATCTTGGTAAGACTAATTGCCGATTAGAATCAGATCCCCATCCAAGTTTTATCAATTGGATAAAGTTTTTAAATATAGATTTCAATCCCTTTACAAAAGCAGAGTATCCAAATCAAAAATATTAAAACACCCTATCTATCAATTGAAAGAGGATTTATTGAAGGAAGAAGTTTACCTCTTGTGATAAACTATGAACTCTTAATGATGTCTTCTTCAAATTGACGATGCCTTCTTCAAATGTACCTGTTGTTGCCTTCGGTGGTAGTTCAAAGAGAAACTAAAAAACATCATATCTTATTCAAGAGAAAATAATCTAGAGTATTCGGTATTTAAAGTTCACTTAACAGAAACAAAAAGAAAAAAAATAAAAAAAATAGAAGCTTATAGTGGATAACTTACCAACACTTTTGTTGATCAATCTATCTAAGACTTATGTGGTGGTGTTCAATACTTCATCTCAAATAAAAAGAAAAAAAGGAAAAGCAAGGATTAAAGTTGGGATTTAAGGTAAGAAAGAAAGGGACGAAGATCAAGGGAGAGAGGAATTTATACCTCTGATTGTCCGTGGATATCTGGATACCTATACCGAATATATCCTCTGATCGTCTGTTCCTTTCGGTTGCAATGGTGGAAAATGAGCAAGAACACTTTGATCGTCCGTCCCTTTTGGTTGCAACAGTGGAAAATGAGCAAGAATGTTTTGATTCTGTCCATTTTGGTTGTAGAGGTGGCAAATGAGCAAGAACAGATCAAATGATTGGAAAGAGGGAGGGAGAGAAGGGGAGGGAGAATCGAAATAGAGAGAACTGTAGAGAGAGAGAAAGTTTTCACGGGATGAAAAACTAGAAACCCGTGTGTCTTGCACGACCACTATCTAATATTTTATTTTATTTTATTAACGACGGACTGTGCGGGAGAGGGAAATTTTTTTTTAGGTATTTAATTGGGAGAAAGATGGTTCAAACCAGAGTCAGAATTTATAAACACAAAGTACTGTTAGGGTAGATATCAGCTCAAAATTGTTATCAATTCACGGGGGGGCGTTAATGCATAGAATATGAGTTATTGACATTTTAAATATTTATAGATCTGCAGTAGAAATCATAAATCTGCATTGAGCCTGTTCATACTTTTCGGTATTTAATTTAATGTTTTATAATTAACGACCAAACTAATTGACAAATAATTACTTTTGTGGAATAATAACGACGACATATTATTCTTGACGTCATTAATGTCTTACAATTAAGCAGCCTCGGATCACTAAAGCCATACAACTAAGTGGAGGACAACTTGATGAATGTAATACCAAGAGATATTAATGTATGTTTAACATAGCATATAATAATAGCTACCTAATGATTATTAGAGAGATTGGTCATAAATTGAGAGACCTTGTTCAAAGAAAATGAGAGGTTTGGACGCATCACCATAAGATATTGTAGTGCCCCTATCACCTTTCTATATAGACAAGGGTCAGCAAAGCAATTGGTGGAGTCTAAGACCAATGGAGTATTGGCAACCATGAGAGTCAAAGAAGGTTTAGTATATATATATATAAAGCATTTGCCTTCAATTCCATTAAACAAATATACCACCGAAACCATGCACATGGGGCTTGCTTGAGGCTATAAATAGATTGATGCAACGTATCTCAATGAAGCCTGGAGGTTAGGCCATGTAAACCTCTTTAGAGAGACTTCAATGAAGGAATGAATTGCTGATATCTAACTATTGTAATGGGTCAAGAATGTGAGACGGCAAGAGAGAGAATCAATTGTATAGTATCTAGTTTAACAACTGGGCTAAAAGTTTCTTCAAAATTGACCCATTCTTACTGGTGAAAACCCTTGGCCACTAGATAGGCCTTTAATCAATCAACTGAACCATAACTCTTTCTTTTAATTTTAAAAACCCATTTACAAGGAATAACATTCTTGCCACATGGCGGAGGAACTAAAGACCATGTGCCATTGTGCAAAAGAGTGTGAAACTTAGCACTCATTGCAACACACCATCGGGAATCATGAGATGCAATGGAGTAAGAAGTAGGTTCCACTTTAGAGAGAGGAATAACAGTAAGCTCATATTGAGGATTGGGTTTGTAAAGACTAGGCTTAGATCTGGTTTGCATGCCATGAGTGGATGTAGTAAAAGGAACTATAGTAGCTTCATGAGGCTAGGGGTGAGCAGTATTTGGTTAAAACAGAATAATTGAACTGAAAATTTCAGTTTCGGTTTTTTGGTTCGGTTTTTGGAATGTGAATTTTGATTAACCAAATTAACTGAACTTTTTATTAATATATGTAATATATAATATATAATATATTATATATTTATATATTAATATGTAATATACTGAAATTTGATTTTATAATATATAGTATATAATATATTATATAATATATATAATAGAGTATATATTAATTATTAAAATTCAGTTTTAACCAAATAACCGAAAACTGAACTGAAAAGTTCGGTTTCAATTATTTTGATTTTTCTAAATTCGGTTTTGTTTCAGTTTTTATTTTTAATTCGATTTTCAAAATTTTGGTTTATTCGATTCGGTTTTTAATCAAATAAACCGAATGCTCACCTCTACATGAGACCCATTAGAAGAAGTGAAAGGTACAAAATTGGTATCCACAATAGTTGCATCCGAATGAAGAAGAATTTAAAGAACAAGATGGAGATAGTGCATTCAACATAGGCTCAACAACTCTCATAGTGGTGTGAATAGGAAAAACACATGGTGGCAAGCCCATGACAGAGTTGGATTCTGTAGAAGATGGTATGGTGGAGGAAATTTTCATGTCCTTGTAAGAGAAAGAAGATTCATTAAAAATCACATGTTGAGATACATAAATTCGTCTAGTGGAGACATCAAGGCAATGATGGTCTTTGTGATTTGGGCTGTAGCCAATGAATGTGCACAAATGAGTGCAAAAATCAAATCAGAACTTAAGGCTGTGTTTGGAAATGATGTAAATGGAGTGTAAATCCCGGTTCAGGGTAAATTTGCACTCTGATTCACTTTTGCTTGTGTTTGACAACATTACATTTATGCATTGACAACTGACAGACCAATGCATATTTACATTGATAATAAGATGTAAAATTACATCAATAAAAAAGAAGTAAATTTGTGTTCAAATGGGCTTTTGATTAAAAAAAGAAGCATATGCTTTATTGAAATTCATGTTTGCATCCATTACAACTAAAAGTTTGTTTGTTTAGAAGGTAAACTTGTCAATGCAAAACTAATCCAACATTATAAATTATATGAACAATTTTACACTACATATTTACATTCACACTTATATGCATCATTTCCAAACGCAGCTTAAATGGAGACTTGTGGCGAAGAAAGGAGAAGGGCAATGGATTGACTAAGTATGCAATAGTAGAAATAGATTCATGCTGTAGAGTATGTGGCAATTTTTCATGATCAAGTAAGGTGAGTGCAGTGTCAACTATGTGACATGCTTATGCTCTACAACCCCATTAGGAGCACAAGTGTGGGGACAGTTAAAATGGTGAACAATGCTAGACTCAAGGAGATAATTTTTGAGTTTCTTAAATTCACTATCTTAATCAGATTGAAAAATTATGATAGAGTGACCAATTAATTTCTTAATCATATTACAGAAAGAAATGAAAATTGATAACACAAATTTAATAGTAATAGGAAACAATCATGTAAATCGACTAAAGGCATCAACAAAAATAATGTAATATCGATCTCCAATATCAAAAGCCAATGGAGCTGGTTCCAAATGTTAGAATAAACTAAATATAATGGCTCTATAATGCTAACAGAAGAAATTTAGTAGGGAAGAGCTTTGCCACGAAGACAAGAACAGTGGTAAGCTTCCCTTGGTACTGATAGAGATGAGCTTGTTATGAGCCAAGTGATGGAGTATGCCCTCATGTGGAAGCTACTGAAGGTATTGCAAGGTGACTATGCCGATACGATACGCCCCCTATTGGGGGTAATGTATTGATATTTTAATAATCCTTGGGTAGATATTCGAACTCAATCACTTCATTAGAGTAAATTGTAATATATAATTGTAATAATATATATATATATAGAGAGAGATGGATAAAACTATAGAGATGAATTCAACTATACAATTTGCAGAGTTAATCCTATCTTTAAGAGGAGAAGCATATTGTTTCACTAACACCACCAACAAAATGAGCCACTTTGGTGAAGCTACCTAAGATAGCTTTACTAGAAAGTCGACTTTACAGCTCATGTAAGTCTGTTTTCAGTTAGAACAGGCACTAATTTTAATAGATAGTTAGAATAGTGGAGAGGTATTTCAAATAATAACCCTCACCCTATAGTTAAGTTGGTCATTTAGCACCCTTCCGAATATAAAGGTACAAGATCAAATCCACGCAGTCTCTTTGAAGTAAAGTTAATGGACCTCACATTCACTTTGCTCTGTTCCCACCGCCTTCATAGTCCCCTGTAATGTGTAATTTGTAATACCAAAAGAAGATAATAACCTTAAAAAGAAACATATATTGGTTGCTTTTGGGTTGCACTTTCTACTTTGTACATTGCAACTAATGTGCTTTAGGTGCAAGTCAGAATTAATACTTGACTAGGCTATGGAAGTACAAGGTGCAACTTACAATAGTTTTAGGTGCAATTTGTAGGATCGCTTCCAAAGGGGGATGAATCGGCTCTGTTCACTTGATATATATGGTTTATGGAGTTGCAAATCACCACCTAAATTTTTAGAATTGAGAATTTAGGGAAACTTGAATTTTTTAAGAAAATATTTTTTTAGCGACTCTTTGACCCAATAGAGATAGATTTAGTAGTGGGTTTGGAGATCTAAGTATAGTGTGGGAAGGTGTTAGGCACCCCACATACGCTCGGTTAAAGTGGCCCTTGTTTCTCCAAATTTCAAGATTTTTTTTTTAATTTTTGGGCTTAAATATATTAAAATCATCACATGCAAATACACACACATGCATATGCGAACTGAAATGAGTGCCTTATCAAAGGAGCAATTGAATAACCTAGAAAGATAATGAGAAGAATTTTCGAATTAATTCATATGCCACGAATGATTTACCATGATGTTAAGTAACACCTAAATTAATAGGAAAATATTAACAAATTGATGATCTATCCATCCACACACACATGAACTAAACAAGATGAAGTATAGAATGGTAGAGTTAACATGAATGAATGACATGATATATATTATCCATCTTAAAGAATGTTTACTAAGGCTGCATTTGGAAACGATGCAAATGGAGTGTAAATCCCAGTTCAGAGTAAATTTGCACTCTGATTCATTTTTGCTTGTGTTTGGCAACACTGCATTTATGCATTGACAAATGACAGGCCAATGCAAATTTACATTGATAATAAGATGTAAATGTACATCAATAAAAAAAAAGTAAATTTGCGTTCAAGTGGGCTTTTGATAAAAAAAAAAACATATGCTTTATTCGAATTCATGTTTGCATCCATTACAGCTAAAAGTTTGTTTGTTAAGAAGGTAAATTTGTCAGTGCAAAACTAACCCAATTTTGCAATTTATATGAACCATTTTACATTCTACATATTTGCATCATTTCCAAATGCAACCTAAATTAAGAGATTAATATAGTAATATCATATAGTAAATTAATAGGTTGAATTAAGAGTTAACATTTGGAACAGATTGCAATAATTTGAACATGTTAAGAGATTAAGAGATCCAACCCTTGTTTGGGGGCACTTAATTACTTATTTGAATAAAAAATAAGTGTTGGGGCCACACACTTCTAAGTGCTTAAACGTGTT